GCGTGATCCTCCTATATTCCTCATAGTCCGTGCTATCTCCCGTCCGCTTGTACGCATCCCATTTCCGCTTTTTATCCCTGATGAGAGCTTTGATTTTACCCGTAAACCAGACCGGTTGCCTGCCCGATTTCATGGATTTCTTGGGGATGCATTCCTCCATAAAGCCCTGCAATAACGTCTTGAACGCCCCCCACTGCTCCTCTACCGTCTGCCCACGGAGCCGCGACTCCCAGTCGATGCCTGAGACGCATTCACGTAGTCTCTCGAAATTAGTCTTCTTATAGTTGTACGAAACCTTCTTCGGTTTGGCCTTACTCTTCGTCCGCTTGATATTCCACGCGATCGCGCAGTGGTCCGAATCTCCCAAGTTATCCTGTACCTTTACGTCTCGTGCCAGATTGTCGTTCGTCGCAAAAACTAAATCCAATAAAGCTTCCTCGTCTCGCTTCTCTCGTCGTTCCTTTATTTTATGAGGCACACAATTGAAACTTAGAGAACAACTCTTGGTATTTTCCATTCTTGCCTTCGCCGAAAATGAAGCCCATACAATGTTTCAAGGAGGAGATATCAGTTATCATGTCAACCGAAATATTTGTTGGATTTACTGGGACAAACTGGATAAAAGTTAAACATGATTTAACTTCACCTTCCTTGCAATCATAGTGTCTTCTTCGAGAACTACTTAGTTAGCTTGTATTCACGAACTCTGAGTTACCTCATTGGGTTTGACTATGTGTGGCAGATGAATGAAATAGCAACTATCCATTTTAGGAAGATGAGGAGGAAGAAGAGGTTCTCTTTGCCGTGGTGGTTTGTAGTTCTGGCCTGGTTACTTGTCATCGTTTGTATCGCAGTCAGCGTCTTCTTCGTCTGGGCCTACGGAATCCAATTCGGGAATGAGAAAACGTGCAAATGGGCCACGTCTCTTGTCACTTCTTTCTTCTCTTCTGTCCTCATCGTCGAACCCCTCAAGGTCTGTCTTTACTTCACCTAATCGTTTCCTTACATAATATGTTACAGGTGTACAGGGCGCTTTGCTGAACGTCTACTTGAAGTATCGCAGTACCCTTCATATAGATCTTCGAAGTTGGTTGATTGCTCAGAGTCAATAAATTTCTAAATGGTAATAATATTTGTGTTCTAGCACAGGGTGGGCGATTTATATCTGGCACATTTCTTTATTTAAAATAAATTTAAATTGAACAAAGTAATGCATCCTGTCATGTCAACGTAAAGTACAAACATTGTCACACTATCACAGGTCTACGTCTTAAAAATTGTATTCTTTAAATGTCTTTCACAATTGATGCGTTCCTTGCATCGAACCGCTACATTGTTCATTACTGTAATCAGTGTGTCTTCACCAATAGCAGCGATTGTATCATTAATCATGATTTAAAGTTCATCTCTTCTTCTGGGACGTGTCTGGTAAACTTTGCTCTTCAATAACCCCCAGAGAAAAAGTCCGGTGCGGACAGGTCTGGGGATCGGGGTGGCCGTGAAACAATGCTAAACCCATAATAATTGTTTCCCCAAACTGTTACCTAAAAAACATCAAATCCCGCACCAGATTTTTTTCCTCTGGGGATTATTAAAGAGCCTAGTCCGAGGAGCCAAACTAACGTAATTGATAAGGTCTTCTATGACTAAAATAGGACTCTAGAATTCATGAATTAAAGTTTGCATTCGATTCCAGAGTCACCTATCATAAGCTTACAAAAGTCAAATATCCAAAGGAGAAGTTGAAGAAGATTGAGGGTGTTCTGAAGAGGAAGTTACTTAATGTGGAATTAGATGAGGGAAGTGATGGCCAAAGGCAAATAGAAAATGAAATCATTAGCCAATTGAAAGAAAAACTCCAAGCGTCCACAGAGAGAAGTGAAAAAGTTACGGGTCCTGACAGTACTTCCACGAAGTTGGAGCATTCGGAAAAACCAACACAAGTTCGGCGCATCCTGACTTCATGAATGATTAATTTCATTCTCTTCCACGAAAAATCGCCTACTTCTCTGATGGATCTGCTTCGCACTACAAAAATCGGAACTTTTTCCTCACCGTCATCATGAGGCCATCATGATGCAGGCTTTGGTTTTCCAAGCGAGAGGCACTTCTCAGCCACCTGCCACGGAAAAGGAGTAATTGACGGAGTTGGGGGGACAGTAAAGAGATTGGCTTCAAGTACCAGTCTCCAACGACCATGCAGCCAACAAATAATGACGCCTCACCAACTGTTTCAATTGGTTTCTGAGAATATCCCAATAACTTTTTAGGTATTGCAGCTTGGAAGGCAAAAGGAGAGAGGCTAAGTTCCTAGAAAAACGATTTGAGCAATCACCCACGATTCCTGAAACACAAAAGCCACATTCTTTCATTCCATAGACGGAGAAAAAGCTGCCACTAAAGCGTAACTTTATTCCTTCTTATCTGTTTCAAAAGAAGAGAAAGTCACTGTCCTGCGAAATGATCTTGCAGCTGGAAAGCTTGAGTCATGAATGTGTCCAACTTCGTCCAGTTTTAATTTGAATTACGCTTTTTAAAGCAAATTGTTGCCAGTTAACTGTCACTGGCATTTTTGCTTTTAGGCAATTGTATGGGGATTTTCATGTACCTTCTATCACTCTACTGTTTATATCTCCTGATTCCAAGGCAGTCAAAAGTTGAAATTTTGTGAAAAAATGCATAAAGAATTGTGTATGGTCATTTTTTGAAGGAAATGAAAATGACCTCTTTTCTGTAATTAAAGGTACTTGAGCAGCATATCATTTGAAAGGACATGAAGTGACCTTTAAAATGATACGAATATCAGCTTTATATGTTGATTAGAACAAAAGTTATGCGCACTTGAGCAATGATGACCTAGCTCAAAATTGGTCACTTTTTGCTACTTTCAAATTGCTCCATCTCAGGAAGTACTTGAGGAAGAGAGCTGCAATTTGACATGGGGTGGTTTTCAATAGCCGCTACAAGTTCAGCAAATATCTTGGAAATCGGAGGGAGACAGGTCAATTTTTGTGTTGATTTGACATGGGATGTCAAATCAACAAATGGACTTTTTGCGTCGGCCACAGATCCTGAATAAGGAATATTTTGACGTACCGCAATATTGTGTCGTCAGATGGCACATCTCTGACTCCTAACTGACGTCGAGACGCACATTTTGCTTGCACCATGGAGCCTGCTACGAATAAGTTCCACAATCCTCCTACGATAAGCTACTTCCTATGTTTCGATGGCAAATGCTGTAAAATTCAAAACCTCGCACAATAATAAACAAAAAATTGAGAATGATCAGCAAAAAAAGTATTTATTCCATTTTTCAAATGTGTCAGTCTTCTCAGGTGCACCCTTCCCGTTACCCACTATCTCGGAGCCGTCCCAACCCGTACTTGACTAGGAAATTGCTCTCATGATGTATGTGAAACACTCGAGACATTCTTAACTGTGATGACGCTAAGTGTCCGTGGGCGAAACGCTTCCTCACGTCACAGGCCAAATATGATGAATATCCTTTTCTCTCCTGCAAACTTCTTCGGAAAGATCAGTGGTCCAAACTTATGGGATAGGCTTTCAAACCGTCACATTACTTTATTTTATTCAATTGTTGCGCTGTCCGGAGAAAGAGGGAAAAATCAGGTTTATTTTATTGATGTTCCAGGTATTTCATGAGAAACGACGCCAATAAAATTTCGGCGCACGGTGCCAATGCAGTGGACCTGCAGTGCTTCAATTAATCTATTTACCGGGTGTTCAACATAGATAGCCACTTCCCTCCACAGCCTAACCCTTACAAAACGTCCACCCCCTTGTGGATTTGGAACCAGGTGGATGTCCCTCTAGGTGTTATTTCCACCTGTTAGAGTGATGTCCACCCGGGGGAAAATCCACCTGGCTCGAAATACATGGGCGCGAATGGATTGGTGGATTTTCACCGGGGGGGCGTCCACCTGGTTCCAAATCCCCCACCCCCCCCCCCCCCCCACCTCCCCGCGCCCCCCATCCACCTGGGTGGATAGGGGTGGACGTTTTATTAGAGAAACTACAAGAGCTAGGAAAAAAAAACTCATATCATGCGAAAGAGCATTCATTTTCAAATCTAAACATGTACTTCTAGTTTTTTTTGTGCACCTAGGCTGTGTCTCTCACAACTTTAAGATGAAAAGATGGTAAGGTGAGGCGACGCTTAAAAAGTTCCGTGTCATCTTCATTGTCCTTCAACACTCAGGTGGTCTTGCTTTGCAAGGCTTCTAGAGAGAATCCATGCTCCTCGCCCTCCATATGCATTAGAGCCTCAACTTTCTCTTTCAGGATAACCCCAATGCTCTCAGCCACATTCCAGATCAGGAGAGTTTCCCGGCAATTCTGCATTTCCAAATATATCAATCCAAGTCTTTCAGCATTTGCAGTGTGGTCAAAGTTTTGGAAAATAGGTAGATACTGAACGTTTAGAGTGGATTTTTGAACGCAACACTATCCGATAATGCAGCATTATTCCAGGGAAAATATATGGGTGGATTTTTGAACAGAGAACTATCCGATAATGCTGCTTTATTTCCAGGAAATATCACGTTTTTTTCCCTGGAATAAAGCTGCATTATCGGATAATTCTCTGTTCAAAAATCTACCCTATGATATTTCCTGGAGATAAAGCAGCATTATCGGATAGTTCTTTGTTCAAAAATCCACCTTTAATAATTTTCGAAAGCCATGAACAAGCCATGAAGCCATGAAGAAGTCAGTTCTGGCATCTCAAACTTCTCGAAACGTAATAGCACGAACATGATCAAAGAAAAGTTATTCACCATCATACGACATCAGAAACCACAAAATGGGATTGAATAGAATAAAAATTGAACAAGGATTCCAAATATACCTGTATGTATAAAAATTGTTTATAGCTCCTATAGTTTAGGCTGTGGGGTACTTATGTGCAATACCCGGTACTTACGGGAATATATTTTTCCAGTTGATTCATAAAAAATTTTGAGGTCGATATTTCTCATTTGTTTGCCCTTCCAAGCCGTTCAAGTCAAATTATCAAATTAAGTATAGATTAAGCCCCTAGAGCGAGTACAACTCCCGTGCACGAGGCTGAAGCACCAACCCCCTCCAGCTAAATCCGCAGCCATATGTCAGCCACTGAAGCCTACCACCATGATAGTGTTGAAGACCCATTGCTTTTATGGCATCCTTCATTGCAAAGGAGGTTCTACCGAACATGGTTCAATGCTAGCGCAATAAATATGAATTTTTAGTACAAGAACAGGAAACATCTCGCTGAGGATTGGATGACTTTGGGGAAGTATCCAATTATTCATTCACTCAATCAAGAAAGAGTCATCGGTACTTCAAAATATCCCAAACTTTAGTGATCCTTTTCATGGAGATGCACTGAATAAGCATGTAAATAATATTTTTCCCATTGACGGGGAAAATGTGAAGTATTTCTTCAGCAAAGTTGTGACCAAAGTGATAGCAATCGGAAGATGAGGCAGCTTATTTTTCGAAAATGAAGTGTGAGGTATCTGTGGGGAAGGGAAGGTTAGTGCTATCAGCATTACTGGGATTACCTAGCATGTGAATTTTTCATTTTTCTGTTCCAGATTCTCCTGATGGCCCTCTTGTTCAGTTGCATCTTCAAAGTGGAACCTAGCGACGATGATGCAGATGAAGACGAAGAAGATCCTCGTCTTAGATATGATCAGGAGTGGATCCCTGAGAGACGTAAGTGCATGGGTTTCGGACCGAAGTCCCAAGAGTGAGACCATCCCAAGGCCAATTACACTCATTTGAAATTATGATGAAAAAAGTATGACGATTTTAGCATAGAAGGGTATGGAGTGGCTACAGTGACAATGGTCATTACAGCCACTAATACCCATATGCCAGCAGTTTCTACGTGCCATTTTTAGTCTCTCAGTCTCATCTGCAGTTGCACTCGCGACGAACTCGAACTAGGCTCAGGTCCAATAACGAAATTCTTCCATCGACAGAATAGTTTTCTGAGCAAATGATGTTTCTTATTTCATTAAGAGCATCTCAACGGGGGTAGTGAAACTCTTCCAAGAGAACCACAAATAAATACTCCTCAATGGCGTCATTTCGTTGAGATTGACTAAGTTCGGCTGTGTTATATTAATGAGCGCCTCCTTTTGCTTCTCAGGACTCTCATTACATCTCATTCTCGTCCTCTGGCACTATACTTGAATTTATACGTAGAAATTCATGAACTGAAACAAGAAAAACTTATGTTCCTTGTTTGACAGGAAATGAGGGAGTTGGGTATCGCCCGATGAATCAGACGGCTTTACAGGCAATCAGGGAGAAAAGACTGCAGGAAGTCCGGATGTGGGAGATCATCAAGGAGATCGCTCTTTACATCTTCTACCTTTGGGTCATTCTCATCCTCTCATATGGTAACAGGAACCCGAATGCCTTCTACCTCAAGGATGCCTTCGATAACGCCTTCCTAAGGATAGGAAACCCCGACGTGGACTTCACCAAGGTCTGTCGCATGTATATGATCGCGAGCTCTCCGGAAAGTTGCATGTGTGTTTCATCATACGCTTTTTCAAGCATTTCAGGCAAAATAAGTAAAAGTGGCTTCGCGCTTCATTTTAGTTTTGGAATTCTTAGTTGAAAAGCAATTTCACTTTGGAGTCTTCATTTTCCACCCTCCAATGTAGAAGAATAAGAAGAAAATTGAGACTTTGACGATAATACCCCTTGAATGAGTGAATTCATTATTAGGCCAATACCTGAGCGGAGAGAAAGTGATATGCTTTCTTCTTCCAGAGTCAGTTAGCTGCTTTCTCAGTTCAAAGATATTAGTCATATAAAGGAGTTTTGAATTCGGTGCGGTTTTAACTCAATAACCAATGGACTCTACTACTCTCGGATCTCTCACTGCATTCTAATCCATCACAGGTGGTCACGACAAGCGACTACTGGAGCTGGCTAAACGGGGTTGTGATGGATCAACTCCGTGCTCAGAATTGGTACAATGGAGATGCGCCCTGGGGCTTCAAAGGTTTCCTGGACGATCGAGTAAATCGACTCCTTGGATATGGAACACTTCGTCAAGTCCGAGTCCGTCCCCAGACTTGTTTGTGAGTTGAATATCCATGATATGAAGCAAATGACATGTGAGTGAGTAGAAGGGCTAGCAGGGCATGCTCAGAGGTAAGAAGAAATCTGTAATAAAAATGGGTACACGTTTGTAAAATGCCAGTTGTGATAGCATTAAATCTGCAGAGAAAGTGTGAATTCATTGTATAGGCTTCTTGTCCCCATATAAGGTTAGGTATTATGGTCTTGGAGTGTTCCTCATTTGCATGAAAGCAGAATCATGAAGAGAAGCGGTCTAGTTTCATACACTAGCATGAAAATTTTTTTATGGCCGAGGCTCGAGCAAAAAAGGTACCCTTGGCTTCCAACTAAGGCTGAGAGAAAGTCAAAAGTGAACCAAGCCGATTACTTCTTCGTGCATCGCCCTTTCGGGGGAATTAGTCTTGGTTAATCTGTCAATCAACGAGGTTTTTCTGTCCATTTTTCCAAATCTAACGAGAAGAGATCCATAGTGATGGAAGTGAGTCTTGACTGAAGGTGGCAGGTTTGCAATGTAAGTCCACAGACACGCAAGTAAAAAAAAAAACAAAGGACATTCTGCTATCAATGCCGTTTAATGGATGCCGGAAATTGATAGTGAGGACAGCCGTTGCATCACCTAATATAAACGGCAGCCCTGAATGGCGTGGAGCCGCTCACGTGGCATCATGCCAACTCCTTTTTTTTTTACAACACTTGCTCAAAGAAGCGTTTCTCTTTGCAGGTTTTCCAGTAGCTTTCGAGGATTAAACATCAAGACATGTTCTGGCACCTCCAGCGTCGTCAATGAAGACAGTGATGATTACTGTGAACACTGGCAACGAAAAACTGAAGTCAATAACACTGATTCGCTATGCGCTCAATCCGAATTCATGTTAGTCATACCTCTTCCTAATAATAGCAAAAGATTTTGCAGTAATTTCGTTAAAAAAATGTGTGTTTCGACTAACATAATCAGTTCGACAGAAAAGTATTCTGGAATGCATCTAAGGGGCGTAAAGAAATCCGATGAGACATGATGAGATGATGACACATTCTCAATTTATAAACCTGTTCCTGCCGTAGAGCGTTTTGCCTCATCGTCGCCCTTGTGAGATTCTAAATGACGAACTGGGTGAGAAGATCCTTAGTTTCCTGTGAGGAACTCACAGAAGAAATCGAAATTCAATTGATTTCTGTTAGAAGAAGAGTACATCATTGACCCGTTGGGGCATTCAATCTTCGAAGCTTTCATATGCATCATTCCCCATAATTTTTCCGAACCAACGGGGAAAGAACGAACCGAGATGCTTTCCGTTCTTTTATTGTGCTTTGATCACCTGCTCCATCTGTGTTTGTTAAGGAGTGACCACGTGTTTTACCAAGAATGGGATATTATATAATGTTGTGCCCAGTTAAGTTCTTTGATGATGCAGGGAAACTGAAAATTGCATAATCGCATGTAGCAGCTTTTTCATTTTGCCGTAAAAAAAAAAACACATGCACAAAAAACATTGGCATTGTGTCAAGCTGGACTCCAATAACGGCGGACACAAATTAAAAGGAGCGGACGAAAGCTAAGAGGATATCTGAAATCATTTGTGAACAAGATTACGGCTACGGAACGCACAGATCCGTTACGAGCGAGCCTATCTTTTTGATGGCTCAGTTTTCTTAAATGTTTTGACCTTTGCATTTTGTGTGATTCAGGTATACGGACGCATCGGAGATGGGAACTCTTCCCATTGTGGGAAATCTTGACGTCTACAGTGGTGGAGGATACGTGGTGGAATTGAAAGGATTAGAATCTGAAATTCGAGATCGCCTCGTGACTCTGCAAGGTCTCGACTGGATCGATCGTTACACCAGGGCCGTCTTCCTGGAATTCTTCACTTACAACGCTCAAGTAAGTTGGCGAGCTTCATTCGATTTTGAACGAGCACAAATCAAGTTCGGAAAACAGATGCGGTGCAGTCCTTTGGATACAGGCAACAGAAGAAGGCACGAAATGAGACTTTATGGAACGCTGAACGCGACAGTCAATTTCATGAATTTACTTTATGTAAACCTCAAATATTCAGGATAAAAATAAATCATGTTTCAACTCTCATACTCTGAAAACGCTTACACAATGCCAACTAACCACATCATAAAATATGTATAAAAGAATATTATGTGACAATTACACCAATCCAAGTTGACTGTGCCCACTTACACTATTAGGATGAAGCCGTTCTTTAGCCTAAGGTGTACAGAAGTATTCAGATCCAAGACAGGGAAAGAGAAGGAAATCAGTCCATTGACTTTTTATTTTTGTTCTGACGCCTCTCCATAGACTCCATGTCGACCGAGCGGTCGGATAACAAGCGGAAATTACACCAATTATCCAACCGTTCAGGAGAGCCTCCAAATAGGCTAAACGGAGGCAAGGAGTGACAATTGGTTAGACATAAGTTGCGTGTACGCTGAAGATTAATGAAAGTCAATTCTCCAATCATCCACAGCAGCCGAACAAAGGGGACTGGGTATAAGAAATCAATGTTGCAGAACATCTTTACCTCGCAAACTCTCGTCCCATTTAGCCTCTGCAATTCTGCTAGAAGTGTTGAAAAAGAGAAGTTCCGGAACTACCCGACCGCTCGACATGGAGTCGATGGTTCCCCCGATTTGCAGGACTGAAATTATAACAAAAAGAATATCAAAATGTCGATCAATGAAAAATGAGAAGCAGAACATTGCGAAATCATTAGAGCGAAGAGGTATATGTTTAGGAAGGGTCATTCCATGTCAAATCAACACAGCCATTTACCTCACCCCCTCCGATTTTCATGAAATTTGCTGAACTTGTAGGGACTATTAAAAAGCCATCCCATGCCAAATTGCAGCTCTCTGCCTCAAGTACTTCCAGAGATGGAGCAATTTGAAATTAGCAAAAATTGACCAATTTTTTGGTCAAGTCTTCATCGTTTAAGTGCGCATAACTTTTGTTCTAATCAATATATAAAGCTGATATTGGTATCATTTTAAAGGTCTCTTCATGTTCTTTCAAATGATATGCCGCTTAAGGACGTTACAAATAATGACGCCTCACCAACTGTTCCAATTGGTATCTGAGAATATCCCAATAACTTTTTAGGTATGCAGCTTGGAAGACTAAAGGAGAGAGGCTAAGTTCCTAGAAAAACGATTTGTGCAATGACCCACGATTCCTGAAACACAAAAGCCTCAAATGGGGTCCGAATCGTCTGCGTTAATCTCATTCCCATAAAACACATAATGGGGTCATCGGTTGAAACGGGTGCAGTCCCTATCACCACATTGCATGTAGAGGCTTGATTTCTTGAGGAGATATTTAAAAAATTACATTTCTAAATTCGTCAGAAATAGGAGAAGACATTCGTGGAGGACATCCATTCTTTCATTTCTTCATTTTTCTCTCTCCCTCTCCACGCTTTTCTGGAAGTTGATTCCTCGAGAGAGGTTCCTATGAAAAGTAATTTCAGAATGAAGTCGTTCTTTCAATGTCGAAAAAGTAAAGTCTGCTCAGCTTCTTTTTTTCTGTTTCCTTTCGCTTGCCTTCTCTCTGTATTGCCTACGTGAATTTATCGAGGGGCCCACCCTCTGCATATCCCAAGGTGAAGAATGACTTTCCCTCTAATTCGATGAGCCTTAATCAACTTGTATTGGCATCCCAATGCCACAGACAATGCTAGAACTTGAAGGGTGATGTTTGAAAAAAAAATTTTTTAAACTCATTTTTATAAACCGGAATTATTCTTGCCACCAGGTGAACTTGTTCGGAGTTTGCCGGGTGATGGTTGAAATGATTCCTGGTGGAGGGATGGTGCCAAGCTCGCGATTCGACGGAATTACCCTGCTCCCCTATCAAACCACATTCGGTGTCTTCATCCTCATCTGCGAACTGCTTTTCCTCCTCTTCATCCTTTATTTCACTTATCAATGCTTCAGAGCGTGCTGCAGGGAAAAACGTCAATACTTCCATCAATACTGGAACTACGTCGACATGACAACTCTGTTGCTGGGATGGACTGCTGTCGGGCTCTACGCCTATCGATATGTTGTCACTCGGGACATCTTGGAGAAGATCTTTGAATCCTACGGCAACGAATACGTCAACCTCCAGCATGTGGCTCTCATTGACGAGATTTTCGGATATATGATTGCCTTCCTCACCTTCATCGGAATGGTTTCCTTTATCAGACTCCTTCGATTCAATCGTCGAATGGGAGTCCTTGCGGCAACTATGAGACAATGTTGGAACGACCTTTTGGGCTTTGGCTTCGTATTCTTCACGTTCTTCATCGCATTCTGTCTCATGTTCAATCTTTTCTTCTACACGGACCTGGAAGAATGGCGGAATTTCGTGACGGCCTTCGAGACCTGCTTTTCCATGTTGTTGGGGAAATTCAAGTTCGACAGCATGAGACAGACCAACATTGTCGGAGCGGTCTTTTTCTTTTTCTTCGCCCTCTCGATGAGTCTCGTCATGATCAACATATTGATGACCATCATCATTCGAGCGTTTGAAGTTATCAAGACAGACCTGTTCAAGCAGCCGAACGAATATGAAGTAATGGAGTTCCTCTGGGCCAGGGCAAAATCCTATTTCGGCCTGTCTGGACGAAGGGGAAGGGTGGCTCCAACTTCTCAAGATCCACAAAATCACGACAAGGGAAACGGAAAGAATCAAGGCGACGACAAAGCCTGGGAGGTGAACCAAAAAGTTGATATGCTCATTCATCACATCAACACCGTTTACTTCCACGGCAACCTGGATCTCAGCAACAAGGATTGGATGAAGGAAATACCTCAACGGAGAAACATCACTGGCCGAAATCGAAATCAATTTCATTGAGATTCTTCGTGGCGACAATGATAACCCTTGGAACTTTTCTCTCAATTTTCTTAATTTTGGTTGACTTCCTCATGAATCTTGCCGATTTTGACTATTGCAGGATGCACCGTGGAAAATTTATACTAAGCCGGATCTATTTAATTTTCATAGACGATTTCCTCTTTCATAGTATTTACGCCGCTATTAGTACCTCAACCGATTCATCCACTGCGGTATGATGGAATTCTTCCCTTTTCACGCAGTTCCAAACTTTGAACTCAATCAATGCATTTTACTTTTACTTTTCGTATTTCGAATTCCTGTGCACTCTATATTTTACTTTGTATTGCACGATCAATACTAAATATATGTGTGTAGCAGCAACGTATGGATTTGTCCTTATGGTTTGTGTGAATCAACTGAAACGATGAACCATTTGCATTTTGCAAGTATTCAGCATGTTGCGCAAAAAAAAGAGATCTCGTGCCAGTTAAAAGAGAGACCAAGTGTGCTATCTATGGAGCGGAGACAATAGGACATGAGTCGTTTCAAAGTTGTAGAATTGTTTTAAGTTCTGGAAAAGAAGAAATTCTATTAAGCCTGATCAAGATTTTAGCCCTTTAATCCTTCCAGACCTGAATTAAGGCCGCTTTCGGAATAATATACATTTTTTGCATTTTTGAGCTCTTTTGCTATTGTAATTTAAATTTCTATGTCCTATATATCGTTTTAGGTTTTATATAACTTTACCATATCATCCCATACATATCATATAATATATATGGTATGATATGGTAAATTTATACAAAATCTATTACAATTTAATTAAATAACTGAAGGTAACTAAACTGACGGATGAAAGAACATTTCCGATGGAATTGAACCATGTATAATTGCGCCCATTGCATTGTAATTTGGGGTGCAAAGTCACGAGAATTCCAAGAAATTACCATAGACACGATGAAAATACAATGTCCATTCAGCCAGGGCTGAAAGGGTTAAGAAAAAAGCATTTGGGTTTTAGTCCTCTTGGATTCGTAACAGTCGATTTTGTCGCTGCCTAAATGGTTGTGGATAGTTATGGACAAAACGTCGCAAGTTTGTTTCGTTTTTGCTCTATTTTGTAGCAGACACAGATTGACGCACAAGCATTGAAGCCATTGCCTGCAGACAAGTGCCTGATGAATAAATGCGAATGAAATAATGAAATATCGGAGTTCCTGATGGCTATGAGGGAGAAAGGGAAGGAAGGAAATGGGTCTCTGTTGCTTTTTACTTTCATTGAGCAGTACCATTTATGCAAACATATGAATTTGTATGTGTTTGATTCTGGAATGCGTCAAAATATCTACAGAGATGGAAAGTTGCACAAAGAAGGTTACCTTTTCACTGTAGAGAGATAAATAACAAGGATATATCATAACTACGTAAGCTGGAAAACTTTAAGGGTAAGAGGGTGTGGCATACACAAAAGAGGAGCCAAAAATGTTTTTGGATTTCGTTAGTAACGAAATCAGAAAACATTTTTCATGAACTACGATTGACGACAGTAGTATTTTATTGGGTTGTTAAGAAAGTCTTTGGAGTTTTTTATTTTTGTTCATTCTCCCTTTATTCATCATGAATACAAGATCAATCCACAATGTAAGCACCATCGTTGCCCACAACCTTCCTCTACCTTTCGGGCAGGGAGTGGATGTCCTCCCTGTAGAATGCCGGGGGCTTGACCCTGAAGAAGTGTTTGAGGTCAGTTTCGAGCGCGTTCTGGGTATCAAAGTGCTTCCCCTGCAGGTGGTTCTGGAGGGAGCGGAAGAGGTGATAGTCTGAGGGGGCCAAGTCGGGGGAATACGGTGGGTGGGGCAGGACTTCCCACCCGAGCTCAAGTGTCATATGAATAAAAGTAAGTAATCGAATATAACCTTAATAGAGCGTTGTGGCTCCCCCACTGAGCTAAGAAAAAGAACTGGAGATGGCGCACAATACAATGGATTTGGGGCAATTGGAAGCCATCTTAGTTGGGTCTGTGGTGGCTCTTCTCCATTCACTACAATGGGATTTTCATAATTTCCCATNACCCTAATCCTACATTTCAGAATGACAGCACAAACATTTTAGCACAAACACAAATTTACTCGACTCACGATGGCTGGCTTGATGTGCAAATCATGGAGCTTTACACTCAAAAGAGAGAAAATCTTCGGATGGCGCATGATTAATATACACACGTATGTATATTTTCGAAACTCCTTATCCCAAGTTAAGGGGATAGCGGTTTGAGCAGGCTGAGGAGCATGTTCTAGTGTTCGCGATCCTGGTCAACGGACTCACGCACAGGATTTGAACCCCATTGTGATTTCATCTATTTCTCATATGGCTCTTTTCCGCCCTGAAAGTGCTTGTCCGGCAATATTCTTGAGTGATCCTCTCCCTTTAGCACACCGAATCTCTAATTCTAGAGCCACATGCAGCCTCCACGATCGATGAACACTGACATTCATTACTCACCCCATCGAGGGACTGCTTAACCTGTTTTTTCACTTCCGCAAGATGGCGCGAGCACGGGAACAGTTTGCTGGGCAAGTGACTGAGCGATGAATGCATTAACAATAATTTAATAATCACAGACCATAAAATGGCTGAAGGGAAGTACAAAACTCTCCAAAGGAGGTCACCAAGAAGTAGTGGCGCTGTATGCGACGGAGAGAAGTGCGGAGGAGACGAGAAGCCTAGAAGAGACGTGTACACTCTTAGAAAATTCCGAGCGTTTGGGGAGTAAAAAGTGAGTACACCGTGAGCTTTTCGAATTTACTCTCTTATTACTCACCAGATGCTCCCTCATCGCTCGTATTGAAGTGAACACCTTGAAGTTCTTCGCAAGGCCCCTAGATGGCGGTAAGGGTCTCGCTTTTCGCACAGTACACAAAAGTTCCCTTCTCTCTTTCCCTGGAATCGTCCCTTGCAGGATTGTTTAGTACCCTGCCATATGTCTCGCCTAGTCTCATTATAGGAATCAATAAACACGGACACTTCATCATTTGTTATCCACATATTCAAGACATATTCATGGAGTCCAGGCCATAAACAAGCTCATATTCCTATTGAGAACCCTTTTGGAACGCGTTTGGATTTGTCCGCATAGGATATCTAGAATAAAGAGCGTCCATGAACTTCATCTAATCATATATCTCAATTAATTGAGGTAATAAGGGATTGATATCCCGAATACCCCACGGAACCTATAAGAGTTGGTCCACCCTCTGACGTGTGCTGTAAAATTAGTCAGAGGTAGAATCATCGCCTGTACGAGAGCGAAAGCGACACACATTGTATGAGAATTTTCGTATTTGCGGTTTACGAACCACTAGCGCTAAATATCACGAGCCGCCACTGCTGGCGACTCTCTTTTGGTGGCAAGAGCCACGCTATTTAAGGGGGAAATTCAGGCCGGGCCAGACTGTGCCCAGGGCAGAGAAAGTACAAGAGGTGAAGGGGTAGGGGAAAGGGGTGAACCCTTTGAACTGGGGGGTACATGACATCTGCATCTAGTTAAGCGAAAACAGACTAAACCAGAAACCCGGTAAATTGTCTCTCCTATTCGTCTGTCAACGCTCAACAGTGGCAATGACGTACGTGGTATGTGGTTGGTCTACTTTTGTGGCCTCCCTCGTTTTTCTGACACGCGGTGAGACAACGTACTTGGCAGCTAGACAAGTGGAGACTGTTTACTATTCACAGGTTCTTTCGCCTGCAGTCTGGTCGGAGAAGTTCCTTAGATATGATCTCAAAGAACACAGCGTAACAGTACTTGCCCGATGATGCGGGCCAGGCGGCACGTATCGAAACGTCTGCGGTGATCCTTGGCGGGCAAAAAGCGCGTACCAATACATCTGTAAAGGCTGATGGGTTCACACGCAAGGAAATAATGGCATGCGATGGATGAGAAATACATCTTATGAATTACTGAGTGCGGTGCTCTTAATAGATTTTAGCATATTCTTTTGTGAGCCTCGCTGGCTGGTACATTGGAAATTCAAAAGCCGCCATTGTCTTCGATGAATATAGTTGTACTTACATTTGATTCTGGAAATCCAATATACTGAAACATCACCAAGGAATATTTCACTTCAGGCTACACATCTAATTGACACTGAAGTCGAAGGGAGAGATCGTTCGCGAAAGGCAATGGACATCCGAGCTCAAGTAGACCTCAGGGGAAGGACGAGAAGGGAGGGTGCTGAGGGAGGCGACGTGAGTGCCAACGAATTGAGGGCATTCTGTGGATTTGGTGGCCGAATGGTTCGGCCTGTTGGGCCAAAGCCCGGAGGCGAGGGATCGAGGCTGTGACAGTGTACTTCTCTTTTCCGCCGAGAGGCAACCCACCTGCTTTCTGAGGAGTATATTAAAGCAACCGGAGAGAAAAAATATCCTTTGGAAAAATATACAAGATCCTCAAAATTTTGGAGCCTCAAAATATTGTGATGTTCTAGTAACTGTGAACTCCAACCATTGTCACCTCGTCCGGGCAATAGGACGGGATTAATGGTTTGAGTTCGTGAATACTATTTAGAACAAGAGAGTGGAGTATCACCTCTGGAGTACTAGTATGGGTACACTTGAATGATTATTATATCTTGAGTATTATTATAAAAGAAAAGTAATTGGGCAATATCTGGCACGCGCGATAAATGTATATATATCTTGAGCCTTTCTTGGCATCCAAGAAACCCCCAAACACGTTGCCAATACTGGGCCATTCTTGCCCTGATTCACTGGTTATCCGCTGGCCGATGAGACATTAAGGGATTGGCCCACCGTTGGGAGCCAAGAGTTGTCCAAGCAATTTGCCGATGATATGCCATGCTTGGCCCAATGAAGATTGGCTACCTGGGAATATTCTTCTGATTAACAGTCCGCGACACCAACCAGGGTCGGTTCCTCTATATCTCCCTAAAAAAAAAAAAATTAAAGAAAAAAAAAACAAAGTAAACAGGAGATGTTCGAATCGAACTTTCGTTTTGACTAATTTTTCCCCTCCATTCTTCTCGTGAGGGATTCTAGAGAGAATAAATAAACACCATAATCAGGGGGGGGGGGTCTACTTTCAATTTCCCGCCAGAAAATCTAAATGTGTAAAAGTACTCCCACTCAACCCTATAAGTAGTATATCAATGAATTACACTCTTAGAGCTCCTTCCAATGAGTGTGGTACCAAGTACACTTTGAAGTACAAGTCTGTACTTCATATCTGTATCTCAAAGACGGCAAGATCGATCTCAAAACCACTAGAGAATCACGAAGAGAATTTGAATATGAGCCAATGCACGAAGTGGCTCGTCTTAT